ATGATTTACGTTCATCCCTGCCTCTCCAGGAACGCCATAAACTAAGCTTTACGGCTTCAGGGAACGTGGATATACAGGGTGCGACTACTTAAAATACTTGAAAGGTATTTTTTATTTCATACTTAATTATAGTAAACGTCTAATAAATTAATAATAAAAATATGCGGATAAGAAATATATTTTTACTTACTAATGTTTTTATTGTTCTCTTTTTCTTATGTCAAGAGGATAGACGATCAGAGTATCGGTTACCGGTTGCTTGCATTTCGCACTATATGCAAAATAAATTCCTTATATAAGTATTTGTAAATAAGTTTAATAGTTAGTTTTTAAGCGTTATATAATTTTTTGTTGTGTCCGTTAGTTTATATCACCGTTGATTGAAGAATTAAGAAGATGCGCAACCTTATGAGCGATTTCGTGGCACAAACCCTGTCCGAGAGGTAGCTGGCGTTACCGTCAGCCTGTCCGAGAATTCCGAGATTTAGTTTAGCTTTGCGCTGCGCCGCTGCGCACTCATAGTCGTTTACAGCGCAGTGAATAATTAATACTGTACCGTAGTTCTTGTTTTATATAGGTACCGTGGTTCTGCTTTCAGTCGACCGAGTGAGTGGTTGCCGGAGACAGTGTTGCCAGAACTACTGATTAATCCGTAGACTTACTTTGGGTAGAGTACGTTATTAATACGGATTTTCTATCATTAAACAATTTAATATAATATTGTATAATTAAACAAAGAACGGCGTCAGAGTTGGCTTGCAAATGAAGATCTCTATTATTATTTCATCTGTAAAATATTATGGTAAATGTCAATAATTCATCATTTCCAAGCCAACTAACCACTTTTTTCCATCATATGACATATTCAGAACCTATAAAAGAATTTTTATTTTTGTTGTTTGTTCTATGTTTAACACGAATAAATTTTCAATACATAAACGCGGATTTTTCATCCAAAGATATTTTCGTCAAACGTATTACAGATATTACTCATTTTAATATGGCAACACTGTCGCTTTCAGATCTATACCGTCTTCGATATTTCTTCGCTGGCCGAATTAGAGAAAATAAGTGTTTTGTGCGTTGACCGCAGAACGATTGGTGTCTCCACCGTACAGCATTTGAGACGTAAAAGGAAATCAATTCAGCCTTGTCACGAATTCGCTCATTAGGTTCTTCCTAATTCTTTCAATCAACGGTAACACTTAAAAACTAATTATTAATCTTATTTACAAATATTTATATAAAGAATTTATTTTGAATTTGGCGTGAAACGCAAGTAACCACAACCGACACTCTGATTGTCTGTTCTCTTTACGCTCTGGCCATCGCTACTTATACGAGTTAGGGGTTCCGGAACCGGAGCTGTTTTTCGGAACCGGGAATTTCGGTACCGCGCATTAGGAACCGGGATTTCCCGGTTTTTTTCGGTACTTTCGGTACTGACTAATTTTTGTTCAATGGTGGTGCAGCTCATCAATCAGAAAGCAAGGGATGGTTGGGTTTGGTTTGGTTGGTAACGAAAATAATATGAAGTTATCAGTCATGAGAAAATTAACATGAACAGAAGTAAAGAAAGTATAGGTAACTTAAATTTCACATCAAACAACATAAACCAACTTAACTGTTGAGACAAAAGCCCTAAAATATTGAATTAAAAATGCAAATATATATTCGTCAATCAGCAAGCAAGGGATGATTCCCAAAAGTAATACCAATAAAAAATTAAGTTTCAATTGAAAATAATATCAAATTATTAAGTCATGAGAAAGTAAACATGAACTCAAATGAACACAAGCGAAAAAAAAACGAAAACATATAGGTAGCTTAAAACTTACATCAAACAACATCAATTAATCTCGAAACCAACTTAACTAAATTAAAAAAAATATATTTTCAACTAAAGATGCAAATGCCTATAAAAACATAACACAAAAAAATATACCTTCTGCATTTACAAATATTATACTAAATAATAAAATAACATTTAAACTTCAATAATTGCTAATAAACCATTATAGAAACTTCAAAATAACTTCTAAATAAGAACAGTAAGTAACTACTTATTTCGAAGAGTTTGATTTCGATCGCTAGAAGTATTAAAAGTCTTTCGCACGTAACCAAAAATATGTTTTTAATTATTATTACCGAGTTCCGAAAGTACCGAAAGAACCGGGAATTAATAATTTCGAGTCCCGGTTTTTTGATGTCTCAAAAGAACCGGGAATTCCCGGTACTTTCGGTACAGAAATTTCCCGGTTCTTAATCCTAATACGAATGACACAGATAGTCCAGAAGGTTATTGATTTTATCATTCAGATGCATGGAGAAGATCGCTTTGTTTTTGAACCCTGAATCATGAGTGCGAGTAAGATAGAAGCTCTTCTAGAAGGTCATACTGGAGCTGGAGCTGGCTATCATGTGCTCCAGTGTTTCAGAATCTTTATCGGATCGTTATCGGATCAGATTCTGCAGCAAAGACAGGTTGAGCTTGTTCAGGTAACACTTGACAGCCTTGAGCCTATCAAGAGGCCTGTTGTAATCCGCACTTTATTCCTGCTAAGCATTAGCAGTTCTTTTGTGGTTTTAGAGCTAGGTCCTTGGATAAAGGCCTTGCCATACCTGTGCCCCTATCTATTTCTCCAATGGACATTCTGCTTTTCCCTGATCCAGAGTTTTAGCTTTGGTTTTAGTGCACTACGGGCGATACATTTGGGTATTCCCAGAACTGGCTGTGGACCAAAATAGGATGCCGATGATCCTTACCTAGCTAGCTCATCGGCTTTTTCCTTGCCTTGGATGCCGCTGTGGCGCGGCACCCAGATTTCTACCAGAGCTCTCAGTGCACCCAAGCATTCCCAGATGAGTCTCAACGATACCTCTGGGCTCATAAGCGCCTTAAGTGCCGCCTGACTGTATTTTATTCTTGACTGTATTTTCTTCTTAAAGTTCACCCTGTACACCGTGCAGCCACTTGAAAAGCGTCGACCGCCGAAATCATTCAAATAAAATTTGACTTTTATATATTTTTCGAGAGCGCTCAAAGCCGCCCGACTATAAAATACCGTCGATACAAAAATCTTAACACCTGAATATATAAAATATTTATAAAGCCGTAAAACACATATTAAAAATAATATTTATATATGTGGAAAGGGACCGCTGGGTCAGTTTTACGGGGATATTGAGTTGTTTACGAGCGACCAAGGCGGAATGGGTATGCGTTCGCCAGCCGGGCCGAAAGCTTTTCCCATAATAATCCCCATGAAGCGCCTTAAAGCAAACCGACCGGCCAAGACGACGTTGCCGTTTCTTTCGCGCAGAGCCCCATGCTTTTTTTGCGCCGTCACTAATTACGGCGACATTTAATGAAACGCGTTTTATGGCGTTTTAAATTGCAAACCGACGTTTTTGCTAAGTTTTAGTGTCGCAAAAGGCTTGTCACCTTTATCTCGGAATTTTTTATGTCGTCGGGAAAATTAAAGGTTTGCCGTTATGTTCATTGGGCCTCTTCAAAAATGAATTTTTTAGACTTAGCTCATACATATGTAAGAAAATAAACACTCCGTTATTTAAATTCTAGAGGGCAATTTTTAAATTAAGTACACAAGGAGATAATTTAAATGCATTATCTAAAATGCGAAGAGTGGGTAAAGGCTGTGGTAAGTGGGTAAAGGCTTTAAAACGTGGGCAACTTTATTAAAGCCAGATTAAAAACAAACGAATTTGTTAAAATTAACCCAAAATTTGTTTTTTAATAGGAAAGCCAGCTACGTTAGAAGATAAATTTAACCAGACTGGATACCCGGCCAAAATTTGGGATATACTTCCTGTGTCCAACCCTGCAAGTCTTCATATTCTAGATTTGAGAGATCAAGAAAAAGAGTTAGAAATGAATCGGAGATTTGTTTTATATACAAGCGTACTGTATTTTTATTTTTAGGCTGAAGATGTTGCTATAAACGACTATAAATCGAGTAGTGAATTAATTTTCATAATCCTCCCATCATTAAACAATTTTAATTAAACAATTTAAATCTGAGGTAGAAGACGATAAGCCCAAATATATGACGAGGATTGCACTTCTAGAAAACCAGCTGAATAAGTTTAACGATAACAGAACTTCGTTCAGATAAAATATATACTAATAAATGTAGGTTTATTTAAATATAATATACGATTTAAAAAAAAACATATGTTTATTTTTAATAGTATAAAGTTTACATATATTATAAATTTTAAATAATATCTGAAACATCAATCCATGAGTTAAACCTAAATGGAGCCTAACCACTTCACATAAAATTGTTTAATATTATTTAGCTGTCGGTGACGTAGTATTTTCTCAACTAGGTAAATACCAGGAGACTTTGTCTCATAAAAACACCCCTTAATTGGTTGACCATCTATATATATATATGTATATATATATATATATATATATATATATATATATATATATATATATATATATATATATATATATATATATATATATATATATATATATATATATATATATATATATATACTGATTCTAGGATAATAATTATTATCATAGATATATTTCATTGGCACTTATTTATTATATTTTTATGTTTAGATTTCTCTTTCAGAAGTGAAAACTCTTTTTATTGTTCAAACTTGTTAACTTATTTGAAAATTTTTTTTTTCAAATAATGTAATATTAGTAGTTTTAACATCAGATTTGAGGGAACTTGTTTAAATATAGTAATAATAGGGGGCACATTAGACTCCGCGTACCTACTTCTAAATAAAAAACATATCGTCTAAGGGTACAAACATAGTGGGGCATCTCTATGCGATGCTCGCCGCGATGCATCCTACGCTCACGTTTTAATGATTATTTACACGCATGTCTAATGATTAGGCTATAATAATAATAGTCTCCCCTACATACGAATTAAATAAAAAAATCAATTGCGTTTTTTAAGATATATCTATCACTATTATTATTCAAACCTTTTCTTCTGTTTCAGGTATGGTTTCAAAATAAACGATCGAAAGAGCGACGACTGAAACAGCTGACGTCAATGGGTCGGGGTCCATTCTTCGGCGGTTCTAGGAAAATGCGGGGGTTCCCCATGAACCTTTCCCCAGGCGGCTTGGAAGACGGTCCGCCAGGCTTTCCTTATTTCTCAGACGGAAAATTCGAATTCGGATACGGAGGTCCGCCATTTCACCCTCACGATGGTCCGTTCTTCCCCGGTCACCATCCCGGAGGTCCCGGTGGACAAGTCCTACCCTTCGGCCAAGGAGGTAATTTAGAGTTGTATATTTAGACAATTGCACAACACACCAAAATTCGAGACGGTCCGGTCTACCAAATTTATTTTTTTATTAGTTGTCAGCTATTAGACTGCTAAATAGGTTGCTAATACGGCTTTATCTCAAATCAATCTATAGGTCATACCCTTTGAATAAGAAGACTAAGGAAGGAGCATATCAAAAATCTTAGGTACACCGCGATGGGCCTCAAATATGGCCGACTTAAATTCCGGTTTATCAGTGTCGTTCTAATTTTATTTAAAAAATGTAAAACTATAATGTAGGGTAGACGTGGGGTAGACTCAATAATTTGTTGTTTTATTTTACGTTGTGAATAAATGTTGGTAGTTATTAAAATTGTTATAAAAATATATAATTCTAATAAAAATAGATAAGTTATAATAAGTATTTATTACCACAAACATCCGATACGCTACTGAAGCAGGTAAGTCAAATTAACGTATCTAAATTCTTTTTACATCTAATCTTTGACAAGTAATAAATAAAAGCTAAAATGCAAGAAAAATATATAATTTAGTTAATTTAAGTGAATTTCATAAATGATCGGTTTACTACACGTATGTATATTATATAGTCACTTACTAGCGAAAAGTTGTTCCATTATTTCACTCAATTTTTGCCGAGATCTACCGCACGCTACACAACCAACTATTTTAGAGTCTTTTTCGATAAATCGCGATAATGTCACTGTTAATTTAAGTTCTGCCACAATTTCCATCTAGATTTACTACCTTTATACAACTATCAGTAGTAGAATAAATAATAAATAACATAAAATAAGCTTCCTAAAGACTGACAAATCCACAAAATTTCAAATCAAATTCAAATGTGTCAAATGAATCGTCAAACAGAACTGTCAAGGATCCCCACCCTAGAGAGCTTTTATGGTGGCTTTTCCGCCCACCATGCATGAATACATGGATAGTATTATGCTCCTTCCTTAGTCTTCTTATTCAAAGGTCATACCAAATAAACTTTTAGTCATGTGATTAAGCTTGATCGACACAGTGTTGCCCACTTTTACATATTTTCTTTTAATCACAATATTTTAGGAAACAAAAATATATAAAATGGGTGATTTATTTTTCACCCCCGAGAAGGGGTGGCACTCACCCCCATGGTGAAAGCACACATCGCTACTATGTAACTTTCGTTTCTTACATATATCTCTATTCACTGTTAAACTTTCACGTCAATCAGTGCAGGTGTTCAGAATTCGGACCTTAAAACCCTCGCTTACTGGCCTAGTAGTTGTGGAAATAATTATAACGGTATATAATTTATTTATACACCATTTTTTTTCACAAAATTCAATAAAGCAAATTCAACAAAATTCAATATTTTCAAATAATTCAATAGCAAAACAAACATACCACTAACAAAATTCTTCTTTTTCAGGAGGTCCAATGGATCACGGCGGTCCCATGCCAATGACGGGCGATTTCGGTGGTATGCCGGGAGCAGAGGGCGGTCCCTTTATGCCCCAACAACCTGGGCCCGACCAGATGGGACCCGGCAACCAGGGGAACCAAGGTGTTGGTCGAGGAGGCAGTCCGGAATTCATGTCACCGGCAAACTTCGCCGACAATCCGCAGCAACTGAACGAAGGACTCGTTTGGTAGCTGGCGAAGGCTCTAGCCAAACGAGCTAGAGAATAGTGTAAATAACGACGCAGGATAACTAAGAAAATGTATTATTTATAGAAGGGTTCGGTTGTTAATACTTAACGACTTTCACAAACAACGTAACATTTCGTTCTTATCGGAGCGCATTTATTTCATAAATCATAATTGATATTTTCTTCTCAAACAGTGATCACCCAAATTGGAAACATAATTCAACATTATTATGTGGAATAAAATAATCCAGTAGCCTGTCATTTATGTCCTCAATTTGGAGATTGGGTAAAATTCATTTTATTTAATGAACAAAAACAGAATAAGAAACTCAAAAGTACGAAAAACGTTGACAGTTAGATTTAAACATCATTGAATGTAAAAACTATGTGATAAAGAATCACTGAAAATGTTGTAAATCTAATTGTATATTATTTACTAATGAAACAAATTAATCTTTGTCATTTCATTATTTTATACAGGGTGCAGCAAGCATTTTCAGTGCTGGAAGTCCTGAAAGTCAATAAGTCCAAAATAACCGACATATTTTACTTTGAAAATTAAAAAAAATTGTATATTATGCATTACATACCGAGGAGGGAAGTGTTTTATTACTGTCAAGTGATTAATATTGTTAATAGATTAACTAAATCTCGAGACAATAATGAAAACTTTCCTCCGAGGTTTGTATACTATTTTATTTACAACCACATCATTAATTAAAAAATAGAAACAGTATTTTATTTTGAAAAAAAAAATATGCGAAAATTTGTCGTTTTCTGTTTTGGCATTTCCATAGCTATAGTTACCGGTTGGTTGTTATGGCGCAAACCTCCAACAGCAAAACAAACAACTAAGTGACAGTTTTAAATTTCTCGTTCGCTTTTTCGAATTTATATAACATAGAAAGCCAGAATGTTGTCGGAAAGTTCTGATAATGAAGACTACTTTAATATTGGTACTCCACCAAAACTTACAGAAGCTGCAAAAAGAGCAGAAGCCAGTTTACTTCCAGAGAAAAGTAGTAAAATAGCATTGAAAGTATACAAAAAATGATGTGCCGAAAGAAATGCTAAGAATATTGCTTCGGAGACAGATTTGATGGCATATTTTAGCGACATGGCAAGGCAGAAAAAGCCATCTACCCTTTGGGCTACGTACAGCATCATACGGGCAATGCTAGAATTAAGGGAAAATATTAATATATCAAAATATCACAAACTCGTTGCTTTTTTAAAACTCCAGAATATAGGTTTTAAGCCAAAGAAGTCTAGCATTTTTACCGTCAACAAATAAAAATAGTTAGGTATTTGTTGTTTTAAACTTTTTAATTTAATACTTTTAACACAAAATGTACCTAATAGGACATTGTAGCACCGATTGTAGTTGGCTTAAAAGAATTTTCTATAAAAAAAAGTTGCAATTAAAGCAACATTTTATCAAAATAAAATCTTTAAGAAAATATTTTCGTCCTAATTTAAAAATCTGTATTTACTTCCCGCCCACGGGAGGGAAGTAAACTTTCCACCCGTAGGTGGGAAGTAAAAGTTAGAAAACTGACATTTTCCAACCTACAAAAATTCGAAAATGTCAACATTACTTATATGGTTGTAAATAAAATATTTTTCGCTTACATTTTGAGAACCGGTGGATGTTTTCTGGGTTTTCTTTCTTGTAAATTTAATCTACTACCAAAAGAAAATAGGCCTTCAAATGTGAAGTTTTGGTAAAAACTTGAGCTTTTGACTTATAAGTTACTTTGAAAGATCTAAAAATGAATTGCGAGATATTTTTTTTAAATTCACCTCATAGATTCACCTCCGAGCAGGGGTGAAATAAATAAATAAAAGTATTTTTTCGAAATTTCGCAGAAACGGTAAGGACTAGAAAAAAAAGTTCAAATAAAAATTGTGGAGCGTCCAATTTTACCTAAAATTGTCTCTATACTTTTTTGTTCAAATCAAAATTAGCCGAGATAGGGTGGCTAGAAGCTAGAGGACAGCTTTTATTGAAACATTTTTCCTTACATCCAAGTCCTTACAGTTCCTCTGGAATTTGGAAAAAAAACACTATTTATATTTTCCACCCCTTTTCGGGGTGAATTTAAAAAAAAATTTAATTGATATTTATAATTTTCCAAACAAATTGAATAAAAATGTGAAATACATGAATTTTTCAGCAACTTTTTACTATCATACTATTATATTTCTACTATCATCCCCTAGTTCTAGCCATCCTATGTCTGTTAATTTTGATCTGAGCATAAAAAGTATAGAGACCATGTCTATGTAAAATTTAACGATCCACAACTTTTATTTGAACTTTTTTTTTCTAGTTCTTACCGTTTCTTCGAAATTTCGAAAAAATAATTTTATTTGTTTATTTCGCCCCTTCTCGGGGGTGAATTTAAAAATAAATTTCACAATTCGGTTGTTAGATCTTTCAAAGTAAAGCGGGGTTTCCACATGCAAGGATTACTGGCGCCAGTGTTCGCCAGTTTACTGGTGCCACAATTAAATGGCGCTATTACCCGTTTCCACAGGTCTATAGTAAATTTAAAACTGGCATGTCATTAGGTTCAGTTTTATAAAATTTTAACACCTTGTTATACTATAGGGTGTAAGCATTCATAATACTTCGAATTTTGGCCTTTGCGGAATTTACATCAAAGTTGCTGAGAGGATCAGACATGACACCAACAATTCTTCTCAAGGCTTCATCCCTTTCATTTCGGTCCTTATAATCACTTATTTTATTGTTCCATAAGCAAGGATGTTGTTCGTAGGTTTCCAAGAACTTTATTATTAATTTAGTAGACCACTTTTTTGAAACAAACGACATTTTTACGACTGGAGATGCTTGCTGTATTGTTTACACACAAAACTGGCGCCAAAAAGTACAGGAGCGTTGAACTTTACTGGCACATGAATTAGTGGCGCCACTAAACTTACGCCAGTCGATTTTACAGGTTTCCACATACAACAAAACTGGCGCCAGTTGAATGGCGCCAGTAATCCTTGCATGTGGAAACCCCGCTTTACTGGCACATGAATTAGTGGCGCCACTAAACTTGCGCCAGTCGATTTGACAAGTTTCCACATACAGTAAAACTGGCGCCAGTTGAATGGCGCCGGTAATCCTTGCATGTGGAAACCCCGGTTACTTATATCAAAAATTCTTACCAATAATTTTTACCAAAACTTGGTATTTAAAAGGCTATTTTCTTGGACTATGTTGCCATATTATGAAGATACATACATACCGCCATTACTCGCTGACGAGTATTTGACACGCATCAGAAGATGGTCACGCAAGGCGTTTTCTTTCATGAGCTTTTCTGTGACTGAAAAGCCCGATACGTGATGTTATCTGTCTACCACACTCCAGACATTCAAAAATCTCATTGCTTTGTTGCCTCTTTATTTTTTGGTTGTCGCTGTTAACTGACTTTACAATTCTTCTCCATTCCGTTCTATTGTGAGCTGCCTCTTCCCACCCATTCTGCTTGTTAATTCCCTTTAAGTTTTCGTGGAAAATATCCTTGAACCTTTTGAGTTGTCCATTATGAAGATATTACGTGTTTTAACTAAAAGTTAAAAAAACCTCCATTTTTTTTTAAATAAAAATTTCAACTCATAGATGTGTTTCTGGGGTCGAAATATACCACTCCTAAAAATATTTGCAATTATTTAAGACTCATCCTGTATAATACTACGTTTGAGATGAATATAGTCAATGATGGTCAATGTTTTTCTTCTTCAATACCAGAGTAAGACGAAATGTGAATGTTAATGAAAGTTGTTAAATTTCATAATTAATAACTTGTTTTGTATAGAGAATCCGCAGATATCTGTAAAATAATAAATAATCAATGATACATTAAAATAGGAAAATATTAGTAACCTCCATTATTTTTTGCTTAACAATATTTAAACACCCCATATATTGATATTTCCCTAGATAATATTCCAGAGTATCGCAATTCGTCTGTCCACTACTTTTGGAGTCAAAAGTATAAAATGTATGCGACCTTGTTAACTTAAATAAGTAGTGGATATGCCAATATCGATGGTAATACCGATCTGGTCACCGAAACTGCGTGGTCTGGATTTTAATGTGTAAGACAGTGATGTAGACAGCTTAAATAAAAAATTAAATGTGCTAAAAAGAGATAAACGTTAGATTGGTACATTTCTTCTATGTAGTTGTTTGCGAAAAATGTTGCATCTAGAGTTGGAACTTTAGTTTTCACAATTAGTTACTTAGTTTACTACAGCTGTAATAGATTCTTAAACAACTATCTAGCAGAAATTAAACCAAAAGAGCATTATTGAATAGATACATTATCTTCGTTCGTTATTTTATTTCTCTTACGCACCGGCAACACTGTATGTCGCTTTTTATTTTGTCTCTCTGTCTGTCAACTGGTCTTATATATTTATCTCTGTTGTATGCCTTAAAGTACAGACTACGGAAATAAAGCGACCAGGGCTAGTATATTATCTAGATACTTTAAGATCTTTAATTTATTAACACATAAAATACATGCTATTTTAACAATTGGTATCTAATATCTTCCTAAAAATAAAAAATAAATTTTATTTCAACGACATAATAGTATTGCAATTATTATATTTTTATCAAAATATTTATAACGCGTGTATCATAAACAGTCATGTTGTGAAAAAATGTACATAGTAGCTTTAATTTTCTTTTATAATACACTGTTTTGAAATAAAATATATTTTAGCATTATTGTACTAATACAACATATTTTGTACTAAGGTGTTACAATACAGTATTTATTTGATTCCTCGTTCCTTGTTTGTCATATTTATTTCTGGATAACTAAAGATATTTTGGACTACCGATTTAAGCTAAGTTATAATCCAGTTTACTGCTGCAAACTGTGTATTAATGTATTTTACTTGAATCATGTAACCTATTGTGCAATTTTTAGTTTTTAATATTTGTTTCTTAGAATTATACTAAGTTAGTCAAGTTATCGTAAGATTTTTCTTGTTTAACTGATGTTCTGTTATGATAACCTTGTAAATAACTAATGCTAAGTAGTTCTGAGAATCAGTTGATGTAAATACTAATATCTATTTCTAGCACTTCCCTGTCATAACATCTCAATATTTTGTCACGCTCTGTATATTTAAGTTAATTTAATTACTTCTAAAGGTGCCAAGAAGCTTCACTTTTCTTTAAATTGTATTGTAATATAAATATCTGTGTAAAAAATAGGTTCATATTATGGCTTGTAAATATATTAAATAAGAAGTCCATTGCATTATTGTCCGTTATTTCTGATGTTTAAACAGATCGTATAACCGGAGAGGCCTCTATTAAGAAAATGTTTTACAAAATTATTATACATTTCGTAACATATAGATTAATATCTTTAAGTTTCATTACACAGAAACGTTTTTTTTTTAACTGTAAAGTGTCGTATATTATTCTGTTGATTGAGGGACAGTATTCTTTTCAAGGCCTAGATGTACTCTACTGTTATTTGGGTTTTTGTCATTTATTTTCAAATATTGTACAGAGCAGAAACTAAATAAATAGTGCGCTGTAAAAACAAAAGCCATCCGATCATATTAGTGTATATTGTTACTTACTTTTAGGTGTCCTATCAATATAAAGAACATTCTTTATTCTGTTGTTTTATTTTAACCTATTTGCCCTTTAAGTTCC